ACATACAGAGGAAAGGAGACAGGGATGAAGACTTGGGGGTTCAGTGGACTTTTAGATACTAGTTGGCAACGTTTTCCATGCTCATTATTTGCAACCATATGTCAATCCCTAACTTATTTAGGGGACTTATATAAAATGGAAGTTTGATTTCAGTAACCATTTTCAAAGAATGGAAAATAGCTTATGCTGTTTCCATGTAGGTAGTTTTTTTTTTAAAGTGGAGGAAGAATGAGTCACAATGGTGTTGGTTGTGGTAAACAAACAAAAATAGGAGTTAGGTTTGCTCTGGATGAGGTGTGAGAAGGGAACTTGGGTGGAAAAGGGCAGACAGGAGTGGAATCACAGTGCCTGCAGCTCTGGGGTCAAGGCCAGAGTCCCACAGCTGCAGGGACAAGTTGCTGCTTGAAGCTTCAGATATTCTCACAACCACAGAATGAGGCACAAAGATGTACTGTGTTTTCCTTTTCTTCCTATCTTTATTTTTTAAAGAAAATATTTAAGTAAAATTGCCCTTATTGGTTTTTAAAAATAATGCTACTGCTTTTATAAATATCTTACCTTATCTTTCTTAACTGGAATTTCCATTTTTTGACTATTTTTTATCATTACAACCTATTTTTCTTAAAGTTTCTCTCTTTAAGTGTACACTGAGTCATTACAACTTTCCCAGAGACTTGAAGAACTTGAAAGACACAACACTGAACTAAGCTACTCCACTACAATATTAAAATAATCAGGTAAAAAATGTGGAGATCAGGTCAACATGCAATTCGTTGTGTAATATATCTCTTTAAAAATAATTCTGTTATTACTCCACTGTGTTGAAATCAGGAAGAATTATGATCAAGTGTGAACCCGGGGCCTTCAGGCCAATGTAGTGCTGCTGGCTGACAGTGGGTGCAGACTTCTGGGTCCTAGAATGTCAGCAAATGTTAAGATGAAAGAAGGTTTCACCTTCGTTAGGATATTTCCCATGGTGATATAAGCTGTGGGCAACTCTTGAAGAAAGGAATGCCACACTCATTTCAGAGTATCCTGAAATACCTTCTAGAACAACCCAGAAGTACTCTGTTACAAGCAATTTAAACGGTCCAAAATTAATTAACAAAAACAGACTGAGTTTGGACTAGGAGAATAATTTGTACTAATAGGAGAAAAGAATCAATGTGATGAATTGCTAAAATTGAATTTGTTTGCTGTATGTTTGATTACTCAGATACACATACAAATCACTATGCCTACACGGCTTACCTGAATGATAAACAAAGGAAGAAAAACTATAAGAAAGTCCTGCTTGCCTGCTCCAATGGGAGCAGCTCACTCACCCACCCCTTCTTATAATCTGTATAAAAGAAGGAAAGCAATAAGGAGAAATATATACAAGAGAACAAGGAAAAGGCCTTTGATGGTCAGTCACAAGTCACAAATCCATCTGATGAGCTCTAAAATCACCTGGGACGTTGGCCTGGAACAGATGCTCATGGGGGATTATCTTCTAGGTTACAGAGGTGGAACCCACCCACTCTGGGTAGCAGCATGTCCTGCACTCAAGAGTAACTGGTGGAGAGGAGGTGACTGAGCACTCTCCACCTGTCTTCTTCTTAGCTGCCTTGCCTGCACTTCTGCTGCCTCATGGCCATGTGATGGCTGCACCCTCCAACTATGAGCCAAACAAACACCTTTTTGCTTAAATTTTTTTCCCCAGGGTATTTTGCCTCGGCAACTGTGGTGTTTTCAATCAGCAAGATGTGGGGTTCTTGTTGTTGTTGTTTGATTTATTTAGTTGTTATTTTGTTTTCCTTTGGGAGGAGGTGGCAAGGGAGAAGGGTGGCTAAGAACAGAAAGAGAGATAAGTGGGATTGAGGTGCATGATGTGAAATTCACAAAGAACCAATAAAAAGTTTAAAAAAATAATAAAAAGAATGGCTCTAATAGGTTCATATATTTGAATGCTTAGTCCCTGGCTGGTGGAAAGGTTTGGGATTATGAAGTGTGGCCTTGTTTCAGATGAGTCACTGGGAGTGGGCTTGGAGGTTTTAAAGCCCATGATGTGTTCTTGTTCTCGTTCTCTCTGTCTCTGTCTCTGTCTCTCTCTCTCTCTCCCCCCACCCCCACCCCTTCTTCCTGCTTGTGGATCAGATGTGAGCTCTCAGCTACTATCGCAGGACCGTGCCTGCCTAACCACTGTCATGTTCCCCATGAAGACCATGGACTCTAACCTTTTAGAACTTCAGGACCCCAGTGAACTCTATCTTCTATAAGTTGCCTTCATCATGGTGTCTCCTCCCAGCAATAGAAAAGAACTAAGACAAAGCTCTACAGAAAATATATGCTTTAGTCTTTGTCACAAGTGGAAAACAAAGGAGGAGTCAAGAAGAAAAAGGCAGACTTATTCCTTAAAATAGATGCTGCTTTTCTTGCTTTCTTTCCCAGGCTCCATCACCACTAGTGTAAGGTTACAAAGCCCTACTTCTATCACATGGTGAAGAGGTTACACAGAACATGCCCTCCCACGGGGATGGCTGTGGTAAGAGTGGGGAGATGACCTGAATGCAAAGTTTATCCAGGATCCCAGCAAACAACTCAATGTCTTCACAGTCATAACCTGAAGTGACCTGCACAGAACTATGCTTCAGAAACACGAAAATACAGAAAGGCCACTATGAGTCACTCTGGAATCTATACATCCTTTCATACTGTTTCTAAAGAAATGTTTTACTTTGATTTTGTTACAGAAAATACGATACATAAAATCTTACATATGAAGAAAATTTCAAATCTACTTTTAAATAAAAAAACTGTCTATATATTTAAGAAGTATACAATGATAACCATCCTCTCCACAAGAAACCACTGTTTGAAAGCCAGAACAATAATATATCCAGGCAGAAATCACAGGCATAAGGAAAGGATATAGAAAAGGGCTGAGCTATGCAAAACATGGTAACTTCATGACCAGTGCTTCCCTGGGAAGGTGTAGCTTCCACATAGCTTGGGTGCTGGATGCTAGGTAGGCTCCTGGTGTGGTGATGTGAGAAGTAGGGAATCCTTTGGAAGTGGGGCCCAGTGGAAGGTATTTAGGGCATTTTGTTACTGCAATAGAAACAAGCCAGAAGGAAAACTAAGACTAACTATCCTTGAAAAGGATGCTACAGCCTACCTATAGAGAGAGACAAGTAAGACTAAGCAAGTACCATCTTTTATAGCCCAGTGGAGAGACATTCACACTCCAGAGAGTGACAACTCAGGCCAGCCCATACTCTGTATCTGCTCATAGGTGTGCCTCTTTTCTTTTTATAGTCCATTCTCTTTTATATCCTCAATTATGACACTTTTGCTATGGAGGCACTCAAGTGCAGAAAAGGCTGAATAAACATAAAGGAACAGATAATAAAAGGGCTACTTTAATGAAGTTGTAGCCTGAGACAGTCTGCAAACAGCATCCAAAACGGAACCTAGATCCATAAGGGCATCACAGACATACATAAGAATTCTTTTACCTTGATTAGGTCATTTCTTTTTCCCCTACAAAATGTTTCTGAAAAACAACTTCCCATTTTGTTACAGGATATGTATCTCTTTCTGGTAAATCCACACCAGCCTGCACACACACACACACACACACACACACACACACACGTACACACGAGGGAGCTTTAATATTTCTCATGTTTGAATTGTACAACCCACATTTCCCATCCCCATTCCCAATCTAAATGGTGAGAAGGCAGAAAAGCCATGAGAATCCATCCGTTCCTGCGTCTCTGCAGCAGTAGTTCGGGGGGGAGTGGCCAGTGCACAGTGGCCAGTGCAGCACACTCTGTCACATCTGTACCTGCTTTCACACAGTGAGGCTGGGCATCCGTTAAATTACTTTCTTTCTGTAGTGTATTCTCATTTAACAGCATAACTTCACTGAAGAAATGGAAGTCTGTTTGGAGTTGGAGTGTTTAAATGGATTTTGTATGTATTTTGTGGTTGCCTAATAGCAAATATGACAAACTCTTTTATGCCACCCGGTTGGACCTTCAGGACTTACAGAGTAACTTTAAAAATGAGTGGATCAACAATGGCCATTGGTTAAACTGTAACATCACCCTTCCTTTTCTGGCATAGTCTCTCTTAGTGTGTCTGAGGGGAAGTGGAAAACCTTCTCAGTCAGGACAGCTTTCTGTGTTACAACCTCTAAGCATCCTTCCCTCTCTGTTTCCCCTGTGGTCCACAGGGGACGCAGCTATGACGAAGTCTCCCAGACTGAGCTGCTACTTTCACCTCAGTGCAGAGGAAAAGAAAGAAGAGTAGGTCCTCTTAACACACATGCTCTATGCACTTGTGGGGCAAAAAGATGGTGAAGGTCACTTTTGAGGAGGGTGGCATTACTCATCTGGCTCTTTTTCCTCTCTGTTAGAGAGGAGAGAATGGATAACAGGAAGAAGGGATGGAATAAGGAGGAGACTAAAGGAGAAGAGAGGGAAATGGCAAAGCACAGGGATGCATGGCAAACGCAATTAACTTCCAGCAACACTTTAAAATAGTAAAATGAAGCAGATAAGAAAACTAATACAATCTTGAGTGAAAATGAATTTGTAAAATAGAAATGTCTAGTGCATCGACAGCATGGCACTCTTTACCAGGGAGTCCTGACAGAATGGAAGGTGGGTAGTTCTACTACAACATGAAAAGACTTGCATGCAGAATGTCTGACAGCAGTAGCGACAGCATACAACTACCCAAGACCAGCAACCTAAAGTACATGACTACTTATAATGCACTTTCTTACTCTCCTACTCTACTGCAATAAGTAAACTTTAAGTATTCTTTATTCATATGCCTAACATAAGAAGTGTTACCCTTTCATTGTCTCTGTCCCTGGATGAAAACCTAGAAGTTCTGTTTGCCAGGCTATGTTGGTGCTGTTTCCTAAGGTACAGGTTCTAACACCACAGCAGCAGAGAGCCATGTGGAAGAGCCAGCAGTGCTCAAACATGAGGCATACTTACCATGTCTTTTCCACCTGTGACCTCTTATTGACATGCTGGTAACTGCATTTCTTGATATTCTAGAGGAAGTTGGTGTGATTTCAACTTGAATACACCTTGTACCTTCCTTACTAGATTTCATGGCACCATGAGGCAATGAAGCCTTTATTGCATTAGCAACCTAAAAGAAAAAAATAAAGTTTAAGACTGGTAAACAGATACATTATTTACTTTTAGATATAAGGCTAAGCATTAACAAATTTATAAGAAGAATATTATCCCCCAAGGTATATTAATATGACGATACATAAACCCTCCAAAATAGGGAGCAAGAGGGTCAGAGGGATGCTTATACTTCAAAACACTATGAAGGAATGAGGTTTGTGATTGTTAAATATTGAACTAGATTTCTTTCTCAGTTTCAAATGCTAACTGACAAATGTATTTAGTATGTTGAAATTCTGATAAACAGAAGAGAGTACTATCAGTTACATATCTTAAGTCAATCTAATTAAATCTCTGAATTTTATACAACTGCTTTTTATTTGTTTGTTTTTGTTTTTCAAGACATGGTTTCTCTGTGTAGTTGTGGCTGTCCTGGAATTCACTCTGTAGAACAGACTGCCCCCAAACTCAAAGGCTTGTCTCTGCCTCCCATGTGCTGGGATTAAAGGTGTCTACTACTACCAACACCAGCACATGCATACGCAGACGCAGATGCACGCGCACACACAAGCTGTCTTCATGCATACCAGAAGAGGGCATCAGATTCCACTACAAATGGTTGTGAGCCACCATGTAGTTGCTGGAAATTGAACTCAGGACCTTTGGAAGAGCAGACAGTGCTCTTGACTGCTGAGCCATCTCTTTAGCCCCATACAAACACTTTTAAATTTAATATTTCCCAATACAACAAAGTGCTGAATATTAAAGACATTTTCATATGCCACGAATTACTTCTCAATGCATACTTCTAAACTAAAAATTTGTAAGTTAAAAATTTGCATAATTAAGTGCAGAACCTACCAGCAGAGGCTCTGGATATAATTCTAGCTGGGCTCTGTATATAATATCATCCAATGCTTTCTGAGCTAGATCCCATTCTCCATTGTATCTGCAAAACACGGGCATTAAACAACGTATTATTTTTAATTTATCCTATATAACAAAACAAAACATAATGAGGAACTATTTATCTTTACTAAAGAAAGCAACAGATCATATTAGCACACTGCTTAACATTCTATGCTCCTTAAAAATGTATTTTTAAGTCATTGAGTTCCTATTATCTGAAAGCCTATTAATAGCAAAGAAAATTTTATACATGTACATTTCTTCTCTAAGGAACGTGACTATTTATAGAACAGAAATCAAAGAGCTAAGGCAATTTCAGGCATCTTATATTGTCAAAGTAACTCAGAACATAATAAATTATATACTTTAGAATAATTTTCTGAACAATTATGGTCAAATTACCATGTAGTTCCCATGGTTTTACTGAGAACTCAATCCTACCCATTTTCCTTTGCATTCTGATGGCCATTGAGAAAGGAACATAATACAAGTTGCAAGCACAAGAGATAAGAAATTCAGCATGTGTGTATTATGTATGTTCAATGTTCAAAAATATACCAAACCCTTCCTAAAACTCAACTGAGTAATCCAAGTCAACAGACATATCTCTGAGCTCAAGAGAGGGAGGCCATACGCAGCAGACGAAAAGTAACTCAGCTCTCTAACAGGTTCTAGCACAGTGCAAAGCTGACTCTGGAGGTAGCAGGGCATACAAACCTCTGGAGCATATATACAGACCACTCACACTGCTTCATGGGCTTCCCCATGCCTCCTGTAGGTGTCAGGAAAAAACATAGGAAGCAGGACTGGGGACCAGAAAGGATGGCCCTTGGTGGTGAAGGCTTGAAGGAGCAGAGTGGCCACTGCCATGGGAAAAGCACAGGCCTGCCAGACACTCTTTTCATATGTGCATTGGGGAGACAATAGCCAATCCTACCAGCCTATTATCCCCAAGGCACAGCTGAAAAAGAATTGTGGCTCGGAGGGGAAACAGGGATATAAACCTAGGTCTATGCTGAGATAACTAGGAGTTCTCTGCTTCTGAAAAAGAGGCAAGAACACTGAGGGCCCCTCCCCCACAGCACACACCACTCAGGGGCAAGGAGTCTGCCTAGACTTCACAGGGATCAGGACAATAGAGAAAGAACTCTGTTGACATTTCAGCCCATCACTGCCAGACTAGTACACTGAGAATAAGAAAAAACTTCCTTTTCTTTTTTTTTTTTTTAACTTTTTGATCATTTTTGAATTTCACACATGCACTCCAACCCCATTCATCTCTCCATCTCTTCAAATCTGCCCTTGCAACCTCCTCCCAAAAAGAAAAAAAACAAAAAACAAAACCAGAAAAAAAAAAAAACACGCATCTCATTGTAGAAGCTTCAGTGTGTCACAGTGTGTACACAGTATACCCTCTTATACTTTTATCCATAGTCTTTCCTTGCAAATGTCCATTACAATGAATCACTGAACTGTTTCAAGGTCTCTGGCTTCTGCTACACTATCAATACAGGCTCCTCACTGGGATTCCTCTCAGATATCCTGTTGTTACCTTGGACCTGCAGGACCAGCCCCATCTTGCACTTCATCAGTTCATAGACAGGGTAGATGTTGTGGTGGACCAACTCATAGCCCTGGATCTAGGCCTGAGTGGTAGCTGAGTTAGTCAGCCTGCTATACCTCCCAAAGTCAAGCCATCAGGGCCAGCTCTTCAGCACTGCCATGGCTAGCTCTTCAAATGTTACTACAGCCAGCAAGGGGTAGAGCTAGCACTCCTGTGCTCATACCCTCCAGGCTAGCTCACTCATGCCCCCCACCACAGGGCCAGTTCTACTGTGTCACCCAGGTGAGGTGCAGGACCAAGTGCTGTAGCAGGTGAAGGGTGGGCCAGCTAGGAACAACACTCTATTGCTGAAGGAGGGCCTAAAAAAATGGGAGAAGAAAGCCTCTCTGGGGACAGGCATAGAGAGAAACCTGAACGAGGAAAACTCGTCAGCAATCCAGCTCCCACTCAAAATACTAGGTAAAAGTAGGGGTATCTGTAGAGGTTACCCAGAATGTAACTATGGCAAGAGTATAACACAACCCTGCTGACACCATCCTGGCAAGAGGAGAGACACTTGTGTCCTTTCCTTTAGCTGTAAGCCCACTGAAGTTGTCTGTGGATTCCAAGAAACTGCAATTTCCCCAAGAATTTCTCGCTGGCAGAAAAGGACTGTGGCTGCAGTGCCTGCCGGACAGGGAGCTTGCTTTCCAGGAACTCAAGTCAACAGTCTGACAACTTGTCACCACACCTTGCAAGAGACCTGGAGCAGAGACAATGATGGATCCACAAGAGGTAGACTGAGGCTATGTATCCCTCTTGTCTTCTATAATTTGTTCCTCTCTCAATATGGCTATATTGAGTAGAACTCCTTTTTTTCTGCTTTTCACTATTTCTTATTAAGGCTGCTTGGGCCCTAGGCTCTTACAACTTCGTAGCACCACCTACAAGGTTTCATTAGTACGCTAGATAAAGAATCATTCTCATTTTCAGACATAAACCATATTTACATATATTTCTATTGCCCTACTTCTGAATGAAATCATGAACAATCAAAAATTACAGGACATACTACATAACCAAGAGGAAAGATGTCAATAAAGTAACTAATTGAACTAAACTCAGGGCCAGAGATACAGTTAAGTAGTAGAGTACTCATATGAAACACTAGGTTCAACCCCGTATCACAAAAAAATAAGTAAATAAAAGAAAGAGAGAACTAAATCCAGAGGTGACCTAAACATTGAAATCATCGGGGTAACTTAAATTACTGTGACCACTATTTTAAATGATCTGGTGGAGAAGACTGGCACATGTGCAAGTAAACTGAGATTTCAGGAGAAATCTGATCTATTAGAACAGAACAAAAAGGGTGGAAGCAAAACAGTAAGACATGAAAAGCCTTCAGCGACCTGGGACGACTGTGGATCAGGTCTGTTGTTATGTCAAGGAAAAGATAAGCTAGGCATGACAGACCGAGAGAAGACATTCAAAGTGAAGTGAGAACAAGGAAACTATCATATACCCAAGCCCCAACAATTTAATACAAAGCTTAGGAGAGCTCTTTTTTTTGTTGTTTGTTTGTTTGTTTGTTTGTTTGTTTTCTGAGACAGGGTTTCTCTGTGGAGCCATGGCTGTCCTGGAACTCACTCTGTAGACCAGGCCGGCCTCGAACTCAGAAATCCGCCTGTCTCTGCTTCCCAAGTGCTGGGATTAAAGGCGTGCACCACCACCGCCCGGCAGGAGAGCTCTTTTTAAGGGCCAGTAAACAAGTATTTTAGAGCTAGGCATGGTGACACACATCTATAACTCTGGGACTCTGAGGAAGAAGCCATAGCATCAATTCAAGGACATGCTGTCTCTAACAACAACAACAACCAAACCCCCCAAATCCAATGTTTTAAACTGTGGGACACACTCTATCAGAACTACTCAATGATGTCATTACAACAGGGAGGCAGCCACAGCTTGTATGCACACATGAACACAACTGTCCTCAGTAAAACTTTATGAGGTACAAGCCATCCCCCTACACCATAAGTCCTTCCCTCAGTCAAGAGGCTCACTATCTACCAGAGTGAATTAAAATATCAAGGGGCTATAATGAAAAGTGCCTTGTCATTTGGGTCATATGAGAATTACAAAGGGCAAGACAGGATTCAAACATACACTGTACCTAAGTTACTACAAAAGGCTAAGCACCAATGTTAGAAACCAATAGGTTATTTCTGATGGAAGATTCTCTAATGTGCTTTTTAAGAGCAAAATTTCTAGAAATGGAAAAAAATAGTCACTGGAATTTAAAAAACTCAGTTTGAAAATCATAGTCCCAAAAGTCATGTGCAGAAGAACTGAGCATGTTCACATTTTACCCATTTTCATTCTGACCCTGAATTTTAAAAACAATGAAGTGTTTTAGTCATTTAGTCATAGCTGAAATTTTGCACAGCTTTAAAATATGTATTTTAAATGATCAAACTATTAAGAACTTGATTCCTTTTCATTCATAAAAATATGATGATTGTTTATCTATTGAGACCATATTGTTATAGAAACAGCCTGACAGGCTATCATATGCCAAAGTCAAACAGTGCGCTTTGTATATGAGACACACTTACATGGCAAAATACACTCCTGTTAGCATCTGCACCATGAATCCGGATGAAATCGGTATCCTGCCACTCACACCTTTGTATTTTCTTACATGTTGTCGGGGATATCCACAGACACATATTCTGGAAAGAAAGAAGAAAACATATTTGTGAAGTGCAGATGATTTTCTAATTATGAACCAACAGTAGAAATAACAAATCTAGTATCTATAAAACAATCTCATGAACAGAATGCCTGTAACATTTCCCTGAATATGTTATTCAGGAAAAGACTGTAAAGCCCAAGGCAGGCAGTGTATGCAGTTGGTGAGTCACACACTAACTGGTTGGTTTACTAATTTTAATCAATTCACTTATCAATAATTCTGGGGACATTACATAGAAGTTACCATTAATAGACCTTTAATCTTTAATTCCTGGTTAAATTCTTAGTACAAACTTCAGGATCAGAAAAATTACTATAACTCAGACTCAAGCTTCATGAAATATCTATTATAAATTTCAGACAGATAAAAAATTTGAGTGTTCTTCTCAGATGTAGGGATGCACACCTTTAATCCCAGCACCTGGGAAGCAGAGGCAGGTGGATCTCTGTGAGTTCAGAGTCAGCCTTGGTCTACACAGTGAGTTCCTGGACAGTCAGAGCTACATAGCGAAAGCCTGTCTTGAAAGGCTAAACAACAACCATAATAATTATGCTGAAAAACATACAAGAAATAAAGGATAGGCAGTTTTATACTATTTGCAACATATCTAAACACAACACCCTTGAGAGAATTCTAAACAGAAATCAGCAATGTTTGCTAGTTGTTGTTTTGTTGTTGTTGTTGTTGTTGTTGTTGTTTTCAGAGAAAATAACTTAAATAAAATTAAGGCAAACAAAACATTTATGATGAGAAGCAGTGCAGGCAACAAGTGAGACACAGCTCAGGTCTCCTCCTTCTATTCCTTCTTGACCTCCTGACACTCAGCTCCATTGAGAATAGGTATGTCAAGTGGGCCTGGAGGCCCTGTACTCAGGCTGCAAAGACTACAGCATAGGTTTCTGCATGGGGCCTAGACCCAGTACATCTGATGCAGGGTGCCCTGCAAATTGGTAGGACTTAGGAGCCAACTGCAAACTCAAGCTTGTGAGCAAGGTACCTAAGCCTGCAGGGATTCACCAAGGAAGATGGTACAAGGCTAAGAGCCAGGAGACCATTTGTGTGAGCAGCCCACATCCCTAAGAACAAAGCAAAGGCCAAAGTCTAGAAAGAGAAAGGAAAGGCCTGAGGTCAGGCCAGGATGCCACCAAATATCTGGCCTTAACTGAGAGCTGGCAATAGCCCTGCCCATCCATAGGTCCAAACTATAACCCACCAGGGTCTTTTGGACTCTGTCAATCATGTTCTATCTTTGCCCTCTGACTTCTCATACCAAGTACCTAAAGTTGGGGTTGGGGAGAAAAGGGATTCACGGGAGCTTGAGGCTCTGCTCAGAGGAATCTGATCATCAGTTCCACCTGTTACTAAATTAAGACGTGATTACAATGAACTGACTCCCTTGCCAATTATGTATATCTATATGATGGTGAAAATTAAGGATTAATAAAGTGTAGGACAGTGACTAGGAACTACCTTTAGATCCAACACGAAGTCAATTATATATACTAGCCTGAGCACTATAATGCAATTAAACTGCCCTTTAAAAATCTCCTTGGGAGCAGGGTGGAGGTAGCACATGCCTTTGAGGCAGGTGTATTTTTGTGAACTCAGGCCAGCCTGGTCTATAGAGGAAGGCCCAGGATGGCCAGGGCCATACAAAGAGACCCTGTCTGGAAAGAGTTTGTTAAAGCAGTGCTTGCCTAACATGTGTTCAACCCTGAATTTTAGCCCTAGTGTGTGAGTGAGTATCTACCTAAATGATGGGTTTGTGTGAAATTGCAAAAACAGCACATGGACCACAATCTCAGCTTGTATGTAATTAATAAACAGGCATACAGTATTTCTCAGATAAAGTCAGAGTTATGGGATTGTAGACCTGTTTTCCTTCCTTGTACATATATTTATTGCCTAAAATGTCTATCATCAACACAAACTTTTAAGTGAAACAAGAAGTTTCTATTTTTAGGTCATTTCCTAGAAAATGCCTGCTTTCTCACTTTGTGTCAGGAGTGATACAGCTCCGACTTGAGAGCACATTAATGAATACAATGTAACTGGCCTCTACTTGTAGCCATCACTGCCACCTACAAAATCCCAGGCTGGAGCTGCTGAGTTCGCTCTAAGTGGAGACACTCATCACTAAGCCTGGCAACTTGAGTTCAATCCCAGCATCCCAAAATGTGAAGAAAGAGAGAACTGTCTCCTGAGCATCATCCTCTGATTTCCACATGCCTTCCATGGCACCTGCACGTGCGCGCGCCCACACACACACACACACACACACACACACACACACACACACCACATTTAAAAGTCTAAAATTCCCTGGAAAACATCTCAAATACTAAAGACCTTTTAAAAATATCTTCTTTTTTCAGACTTATTTTTATGTATATGTGTCTCTCTCTGTGTATGGACATGTATGTATGTGTGCCCAAGGAGGCCAGAAAAGGGCTTTGGATCTTCTGGAACTGGAGTTATTTATGATGGTTGTGAGCCATCTAATGTAGATACAAGAGCAAGAAGCACTCTTAGCTGATGAACCATCTCTCCAGGCCCCAAAAATGTTTTCTTAAAAGGCCTTTAATTCAAAGCATAAATATAAGCGCATTTGACACTGCAAGAAACTCAAAACTCCTTAGTACTAAGAACAAAATAAGCAGAGAAACTGAGAAAAAATAGCTTCAAGTAGAATAAATCCAACTTTTACCCCAAACAGAACACTTGTTTTACACTCATATTTTTGTGTTGCATAATAAATACCAAATTTTAATTTATTCAACCAGCATATTTACCTCTTTCTTTAAATGAAGAAAAACCATAATGCCATGTTCCCTTATTTTTTGGAATAAAACTAGAAACACAGTAAATGTAAATAAATAAAAGCAAACAAGATAAAAAGAAACACCCAATTATATTCCACAAATTAAAAAGTAATGACCATGCCATTGTTTTAAAAGTAATATAACCCCTTCTGATTTAATATTCTACCCAAACATTACTCAGTTGGAAATTCATCATTGTGATTTTGGATAGCTACTATTTCTAAGCTACCTTCTATGTGCTCAGTAGGCTGAATTGTACATTGACTTATGTAATGTTTTAAACCAACAATCACATAACAATAACTTAGGTATGTAACAAATTAGCAGTCCTACATTCATATACCCCAGGATTAGAACCTAGGAAATCTGGTTTACCTTGAACAAATCTGACACAGTGACTGAAGAGAAACACTGGGCATGTAGGTTAAAGCAGCATTGTAACACAACAGAAGGAATGTCAACACTTCAAACCTGAAGACAAACCAAAGGAATGTTAGCTGACCTGACACAGCAGAATCAGGCTTACACATTACAGACACAGTAAGGAAACTCAAAGGAAAAAGAAGTCTGCAAATAACAGTACTGCATCTTCAAAACTCCAGATAATGCCTGCAGCAAAGCACAGGGGCAAGTCTAGGTATGTCTGATTCTTTTCTAAAATGACTCAATATCCACAGAAGTATCACATTTAGCTCACTATACTTTATAAATTTACTGAAACAATTTTTAAACAACTTAGCTAGGAGAATTGTGCCTCTCCAGTGTACCTGTTCTGTGCTGTCAGCATCTCCCGTTGAGGATGGGGTCCACTGTACACAACCTTTGATAAGCCATGCTGGGATAGAGCACTCTCTGTCAGCGCCATAGACCCAATGCTGGAAGGCTAGCAAAAAGACAGTTTTGTTGAAGGTGATACTGAGAATGCACAAAGCACGGAGAGTGCCTACTAGGCACACAATATAGCTTAGAGATAGTCAGACTTCCTGTCATATTTCCACTCCAAGATTTAATAAATGTTAGAAACTAAACCACAAATGAAAATCACAATGTTTAATTTCCAAAATTCCATCCTGGAGTACGCAATTGTCCACCCCATTCCCACACAGACACAAATTAAGATGAGCCTTACCCATTATAGAAAGATAAATGCTTTCAATAAGGCTCTCACCATCAGATCTTAGTTCGATACTTTAGTGATTTTGACTTATTGTTTGAAAGAGTAAACACTCCGTGTGGTGATAATCAGTGCCTTTTGCAGTACTGATAACTCACTTCTGTGCATAGATAACTATACCCTAACATGGGATTATTGGAGCTTAGGACCAAACAAATACTTTGATAAAAAACTACTTACTTCATGATATACAGATGGTTTGGATAAAGATGGAATTGTAAAACTCAATACTTTACTATGTCCATGTTTGTCAACTATTTCCTACAAAAGTAAAAGGAAATATCTTAAAAGTTACCTTGTACATGTAACATTTTAAAAATAAAATTATTAGGACAATTTGTCCAGGTTTAATTTTTTGAGGTTATCATATTAATTGCAACATCTCTCCCTCCCCTTTCTTCCCTCTAAGACAAATTTTTAAAGACCAGAATAAAAGGAATTTAAAGACAATTAAAACTCTTGAACATTGGCGATCCATTATCAATTGGCATTAGCATCAGTAGGTAACATGTGCATTGTTGCATTTTCAAAACTAAAGCCAAGCAGAGCACTATAGTTAGCGTAGAAAATATCCAACTAAATTAAAGTTCCACTGTTCTCAGGATGGCTACGGCATAGACAGTGCAGTGACTTGCTCTTTACTAACAAGTTGTATTCTCTAAGTCAATTAAATATGAGATGTGTCTACAGAAGGACCTCACCTTCCCTTTCCATCTTAAAGAACACAACCCATAAGCATTCAGAATGTCATGTCATAACTGATACTCAGGCTAAGTCACACAAACCATTAAGTCTTATGTACATCTCAGGAGACAGTGGCGACTTACAAGGTGTGAGTACTGAATCTCATATTAGGCCTTTCTACTGGCTGTGTGTGTGTGTGTGTGTGTTTGTGAAGGCAAACAACAGCTTAAAGATACACTTAAACAGATACTGAATTTAAAAATTCAACAATAGCAGTAATTAGGCATGGCAGCACAGGCCTTTAATACTAGCATTTGAAAGACAGGCAGATCTCTGTGAGTTTGAGGCCAGTCTATTCTAAGTAACAAGCTCCAGGCCAGTCAGGGCTACATTATGAGACCCTGTCTCAAAATAAAATAAAACCTCACTGGTGGTGGTGGTATTATTATTATTAATCTCTATGAAAGTTTCAGCTTTCATTCAACCCATAAAAAATTTTTAGATAATTATATGTGTGTCCCAATACCCTTAGGTTCTTTTTTCTTTTAAATGAATAGTAGTTTTACTAAAATGAAAAGCAGTTTTCCAAAAAGCATTTTGTTAATCTTTGAAATACAAACCAGGTTGTAAACCCCTAGAAGAAGGGCCTCAATGCAGCCGCTGCTGTGCACATTTCTGCTGGCCGACACGGCGAGGTAGCACCAGATCAGCTCTGGGAGGAACTGCAGAGTGAACCGCAGCAGCTGCTCCTCCCCACTGCGGTAGAACTCAAAGAGCTGGTGACACACAGGCTCTAGTAACTGGAAGAAGATAACATGGTAAACGTATGTGAATGACATCACTGTATGAACTACAGAAGATTTCTCAGAATGGTTAAGTCTGAAATATACAAATGTTTTAATTTTCTTGAAACAAAACTAGTCGGTGGCCAGCTATTTCAGAAAGTTTAGATTCTAGTGGCGGGACACTACAACACATCAGCGAGTTGCTCTACCTCTCTCACAGATATTCTTACTCAGGCCCTGGAAGTTTACTTCTCAGCTAAGGTGTAGGAAGCCTCTTCCGTAACACTTTTCTTCTTAGTAAATTAGAAGTCAACATATAAGGGTTTGTCTGCAACACAGAAGTTACTAAAACAGACATCCTGGCCCACAACTTGCTCCCATGTGTGCAATGCCTAGTATGTAAGGCAGTTAGTTACAGAGTCATTACACCCAACCCATTGCTGAAGCCATGGTTACTGCTCCTGGGTTTTATACATAAATTAGATTCATCTACAGCCTTTTTTTCCCACTATACTCCCAATTAAATTATGTTAGTAGCACTAACTATATCCTTATTAAAGACTCTTAAAAACCAGAAAAAGCAAGTTAAGAGACTCTCACATCTCTCAAGTGTTCCTTTAAGTCACACACTACAATCAAACATAAAGCATGGCCAAACAGTCAGGAGATTCAAAAGCACTGCCTTTCAAGAAAACCTGAACAACTATACATTTTATTAACAAACAGCAGATAACATCAAGATACCAAGCATATTTCTACCAATAATTACAACAAAGAGAAATCAATGAATGATATAAATTTTTATTTCAAATAGACTAAATAAATAAAGTAAGGAGTAAATCAAACTAGCCTCTCCTAAAATCAGGGCTGGAAATGTGGCTCCCAGGCAGAGTGCTCACTTAGCACACCCAAGGCTGTGGGTTCGATTCTCAGTGCCAAAACAAACAAACAAAAAAGCAAAACAGGACAAGCAGACTGTTTATAAAGGTGGTACATGCCTTTAATCACAGCACTCAGGCAGGGCAGGGGAGGGGGAAAGAGGCAGAGGCAGGTGAAACTCTGTGAGTTCAAGCCCAGCCAGCCTGAGTTCTAGGACAATGAAGGCCACAGACAAACCCTGTCTCAAAAAAAAAGTATTCACCTTCTGGCAATTAACTCACTCATAGGGGTATTTTCCCTCATCACAATGGTGGTTCAAAAGCAAAGGTAAGACTGTCTCAAACAGAACAAAAGTCCAAAGTGACTCTGCTCTGTGCTCCAGCACTGTGCTCTGTGCCCCAGCACTCACTGTGCTCCAGCACTGTGCTCTGTGCCCCAGCACTGTGCTCTGTGCCCCAGCACTCACTGTGCTCCAACACTCACATTTCCAAATCCCCAAGCAAGCTTTAATTGAATCAATCCAGGAAGCTTGCAAAGTTTAACAAGCATTTCCAATAATAAACCTTGCTAGAAAATTCAAGACACTCTGTAAGAACACATAATCAACTTTAATCAAAATACACTCAGTCTTTATAATCCGTTTTCAATCCCAAATTTAAAAAAATGCCTAATGAAAGCATAATTAAGTGAAGACAGATTTAAAGAAAAGAAAGTCATGTTGCAAAAAGATTAAAATTATGCATCTGAAGTCAATACAGATAAATACCAACATCTGTTTGTTTTACAGTTTGCAAAGTACTGTTTATACAGAAACACGATCAATTCCACTCTACTGTAAGTAGACTATAACTAGCCATACTTTTTCAGATAAGGAAATGGAGACAGAAAGACTATGTACCATGATGGACAGTACACACTCACAAGAGCCAGAAAGGAGAAAGAGATATATGACTTTTACAAATGTCAGAAAACAATAATATATAATGTGAGAAATACAGGCATAGATAACATGAATGTATTTTAAGGTGGTAATTGAACATGCTGCCTTGCTAATGGCTCAGTGACATTTTGGAATACATTTCCCCATGAAAACATAGCTCAAACTAGTTAGAAGTTGAGGGCTGCTTGTAAAGGAAGCCTGGTCAACAAGAAACAGAGGAAAGCAGCTTGGTGAAGAAAAAGACAAGACAAAGATAACTGATTAAATTATTCCAGATGAAGTCTGAGGCTTGTCAGGAAAATCCCTAAGCCTGCTAACATCTCAGTCACAATGTACTCCATAGCATAGTAAGTAGAATCTAGGCTATTCTATACTCCCTCCAACACAAATTAATTACTCAAAAAACAGTATTTCCTGGAGTGTATAGTCTTGTTGCAAAGGCCCATTGATCCATGTAATATGTTACCTACCACTGAATAAAGAGATTAGTGGCAGGCCAGCAATGGCAGGGCTCAGGAGGCAGAGGTAGATGGATCTCCATGAATTTGAGGCCAGCCTATTCTACATAGTGAGTTCTAGGACAGCCAGGGCTACAAAGTGAGACCCTGCTGAGAGAAGGGGGCGGAGATGAGAAACAGAGAGACAGAGAGACACAGAGACAGATGACAGACACAGAGAGACAGAGAGATTGAGATTGATTTTAAACCTGTCACATCTTAAGCTAAAAAACAAAAGGAATTATGCAACTCATCTCCTTCCCATCTACTCCAGAGTTGTCTCCCTCTAGTCCCAGAGTAGGAAAGGAAGTAGCAGACCAAACGGTAGCACTCAATGACTGCCTCGCATCTCCCATACTTCCCTGCTGCTAGGAGTGTTTGTTATACTTGCCACATGGAAAACCTGTATTTGTCCATGGTCTGGGTTTGTGTGTGTGTGTGTGTGTGTATTTATTGTTGCTGTTGCTATGACACGTGGTAACTTATAAAGAATGTATTCCTTCCCAGCTCTACAGATTGGGTAGTCCAAAATCAAGAGTTTTTCTGCATCACCTCACAACAAAAGTCAGATGGGTAAGAAAGCTAAGGAGGCCCAACTCATCTTGCAAACAGCACCAACCCCATGTTCATCCCAGTGTTTTCTTCTGCTCTTTACTCGAAGAACTGAACCCAGGACCTAGTGTATGCTAGGCAAGAGCTCTCCCACTGAACTATATCCCAGGTCCATTTTTTTAAAACACTTGTTAAAATGCTAAGTATGTTCTCAGATAACTGTTAAAGGAAGAAAACATGTGAACCATCGAGAGACTCAGTTCCACAGTTACTCAGTCTCACTTTTCTCTCTCAGGGTGAAGATCACTGCTTTTTGAGACCCTAATGTCCACCACAGTAATGGCTTACAGCAGGTACATAAATATTTGCTGAAGAAAAAAAGATTATTTCCAGCAACTTAGACGTTTCAGGGCTATGGAGAGTCAGAGACAACAGAGAAGGAAAACACTAAGAAAAATAGATTTGGGGATACAGTAAGGATTCTAGTTTTCATTCTGGAGAATGATACACTGAAATTAATTTTATTCTTGTTTTGAAAATATATACATTTTCTTACCTTATATATGTGCGTGACATTTCATAATTAAATAAAAATAATCAACTGAATACTATTCATACAAACTGTAATGTACTTACCTCACTCTGTGGCTCCTGGATAACTTTATAGAGAGATGAAACTAAAGAACTCTTGTCTTTCAAATTTGTGGCATAATTTGGCAAAGATGTTTCTGGGAGAGTCTAAACAAATTAAAAAATTTTTTTTATTTTTATGAAATTCTAAATCAGACAAATTCATAAAAAAGAAAATAGTACATATTGGTCATTAACAAAGACTAGAGCAGGGGGAGGGAAACTAAGAAAAACTGCCTAAAAGACATGGAGTTTCCAGAATTCCATGCTGGTGTTTGGTACAACTTTATAAAAATAACAAAAGAACAAGAACAAAAATAAATAAAATAAAATTCAACCCTGCATCTTTACTTAAGACAGTGAATTTTATGTGATGTATAACTCAACAACAACAAATATTTAAAAATTTATTCTCTTATTACTAACTGGGTAAATCACCATCAGAACTCACCACTGGGACCAGAGCAATGGCTTAGTACATAAAGCACTTGCTGCACAAATAGGATCCCTAGATCCCACTTCAAAGCTGGGCAGGCATGGTGCTGATTGTAGTCCCAGCACTCTGGAGGTCGAGACAGGGCATTACTAGGGAAAGCTGGCTTTCTAGACTAGCCAATGGTGTGTTCTGTGTTCAACCAGAGACCCTGCCTCAATTAGTTAAGTGCAAAGTAATCAAAGAAGATACTCAGTCTCAACTGTCGGCCTACAACATACTCTCCCACATGTGCAAGTGCACTCACACACATGCAAACCCTCATGAACACAAGCATGCAGCCCATGCATTTATAAACATGAAAATGGAAAAATCTTCATCTTTAACTGCCGTTTTATATTAGAAACAATATTGAACCACATGTAAAGATAGAATTCTGTCTTCGAAGCATCAGGAGTGATGGGTCTCCTTAGGTGTATGAGGATCTGATAATGTGTCTAACCTGTATACCATAGGCCACCTGATCCAAATACTCCTGAGTTCCATGCTACTGGCAGAGGTGAGTCTACACTGCAGGTTGGGGAGAATACTGAGACTCCTCAGAACTCGGAACTGTACTACCACAAATTAACTCTGCCAATGCCAGTTAAAACACAGACCATCGACCACAGCCTGCTAGCACTACTTCTTTAGATGGGGACCCTACAGACCAGAGAGAGAAATGGAAAGAGAGACACTCTCAGTAGTAACTCATATAACTGTGGATGGAAAGGTGGCAGAAAAAACTGAAGAGAAACTTTACTGTAACAATAATAAAACGCATCCTTTAGAGCTCATCTCATTAGCAGTGTTTGTCTCCCATGTCACTGCCCACTCAGGTTCCCTCACTTACTCCCAGAGCAGACAGCATCTCAAGATACTCCTAACAGCCATGCTAAAACATGCACTCTGTCTCACACATCCCATACCAAGTATTTCATGATTTAACATGGGCTGTGGCTACAATACACAGCTTTAGGTGTGCATAAGTATCCACAGAAAATTAAGCTGCATTGCTTCTTACAGCAGGGTTATTGGTTCATTCTTACTTTACTTTCTCCCTGAGAGAAAGCTGTCCTTTCCCCTCTCCATCCCTATCACTCAACAGAAAGCCTCAAACTCAGACCTCTGCTGGGAGAGCACTGAGGGACAGGAAGAAATCAAACTGCCATTGTCTGTACTCAGGAAGAGTCTTTTTAAAACAGGTCATATTTTGCCTGAAGACATGTAAGTGACTAGGTTTTTCTAATTTAATAAGAGAGTTTTGTTTACCAGCATGCTAAGTAAATGTGAACCATTTGGGAACCTGCTACCATTCTCCAGAACAATAGCAGCAACGGCCACAACAACAAAAGCAGTTTCCATGCACTGCTCCATAAAGCAGAGATTTGGGCATTCTTCAGTATTTCAAAAGCAAGTAACAAAAGACCTCCAGGCAACATTCTATTTCTGTCATGTAATCAAGAGTAACCTAATACTGGAAAAATTTATATAAAAGCATCAGATTTCTTATCTCATTAAAACAAGCCTCAAGATATGTGTAAAGCACACTATTTCATCGACAGAACGAATGAAGCTCACTATGTAGTCTATATGAGCTCATAACGTGTTTTCTGTGAGCCAGTCAGAGGCCTCAGTGCTGCTTATCCTTCCCCACTCTTCCATCCCTCACCCCATTTCTCCCAACACTAAAGGCCTTGAAATGTCGTATGGAAACCTACCATAGAAGGCCCCTCAGATGTGTACATATACGCATGTAAAATGAACTGCCTTATAAGGGGGAACAATGACAACCCTGGAGACCCATAGCTATCCAATAAAAAGCTCAATACAAGGCATGAGCTTCCCCCTGTTGAGCTGTTATTTAATAGGGTCACATAGACAACTCCCCTCCAAATTCCAGCATTATTTTTTGTTTTCTTGAGGTGTTTGTTTGTTTGTTTGCTTGTTTATGTCTGTTTGGGGTGTTTGTGGTTTATATGGGGAGGGGTGATTTTTTGTTTGGTTTGGGGGTTTTGTGCGTGTGTGTGTGTGTGTGTGTGTGTTTGTTTTGCTTTGCTTTGTTTTGTTTTTCGCCACTGCTCTTGGTTACCCTCCAGAACTCAGGGTAAAACCCTACTGTTAAAGATACCACTTATCTACATAATAAGACATGGAAAAGTAAAGCTTGTACCATCCTGGATGCTTCTTTACTTCCTAGCTCTCATGGTGCTAGAAGGCTTTCTGCATCCTACCAGGGAAAAGTCATCAATAGTTTTACTTGTGAACACTGTAACCTGCAACAACGACTGTACGAGCCAGAGAGACCAGATGTCTGCAGTGAAGCAGTATTCGTCAGACATGATGACTCAGTTGCACATGTGAACTCACAGTATCTGAGGCAGCACAAGACTTGTACAAGATCAAGCAGCTGAAGTCCTAGCAGGGAGAGGGAGGGGCCCATGAAGTCCACCCCCATCTGAGGAGCTATTAACAATTGATGGCTGCAGGAGTGTGAGAAAGTCAATTTTCTTCAGGAATGCTGGCCCTGAGAGGCTACCCATGCTCCAGTAGATGCTCCCACATCCATACACATACAGACAGGACTAAATGGACCCAGTGGGTATTTAAAAAAAATTAAAGATAAAAAAAGAAAAAAAAGCATATGAAATTAGGAGAAAAGTAAGAGGGGCAAATAGGGAAGGAACTGCAGGGGAGAGAAGTGGGGAAGGACTTGATCAGAACACAATGCATATATAAATAATATTAAATAAAGTATTTTAAAAGAGAGAAAGAAATAGCCAGAGATAAAAGAACATCTCTTTTCTAAAATCTCCAACTCTGTGAAGCATAGACTCCTGGGGCTTCTGTTGATAAATGAGAAAAGAATGCCTTTAAAACCAGTGACGTAGCCATCACACGCAGCTCAAAACGCCACCACTAGCTCATGGTTTCTATGTGAGCAAAGCTGCCTTTCTATACAAGGGAAGGGTAGAACTACTATGTTTACAGTGCTTCAAGTCGAGCTCAGAGAGATGGCTCAGCATGAGAACACTGAATGAGGACCTGGATGATTCTCCTCTCAGCAACTACATGTTGACTCACAGCTCTCTCTAACTCCAGTCCCAAGGGATCATCCTACCTCCTCTTTTGGCTTTTGCAGGTACCAGACATGAACATGGTACACAGACATATATGCAGACAAAACACCCATATGCATATGATAAATAAATTAAAAATTAAAACAAAACAAAATGGTGCTTTGAAGAACTGATGTTAAAGGACCAGATGAACTCAAGAACTGTTGGCCTTCTCATTAACCAGGTTTCTCATGCTGTTGTTACTTAGAGATGAAAGAAAAAAACGAAAATTTAAAAAAAAAATGTTGAAATTATTCTTGGCATGTTTTTAAAGAAAACAGATGCTTCATACTAAAGTACCATTTGGCAGATGGCTTTTAAAATGTAAAGAGGTAACATGGATTGGGTGGAAGAGAATTAATGAAGACAGACAGATGGGTAAAGATTCAATAAACAGAACAACCCCATTCAATAGCTTCATACATGAAAATGAACTTTTGAGCCACATATTGAGTATCAGAAAATATAAAAACTGAGGCGCCTAGAATCTGTTCCATAATATACACACAGCATTAAGAAAAACACAAAACTTTAATCCCAGCACTTGGGAGGCAGAGGCAGGCGGATTTCTGAGTTCGAGGCTAGCCTGGTCTACAGAGTGAGTTCCAGGACAGCCAGGGCTATACAGAGAAACCCTGTCTCGAAACAAACAAACAAACAACAAAAAAAAACCAAAAAACAAAAAAAAGAAAAACACAAAACAATCTGCTGAAACTTTTTTACAAATAAGTCATTGAGAATATTAAATATTTATGAGACCCTAGTTTAGTCACTTTAGTCTACTTAGAGAATAATACCAACAAGTTAGCTAGTACAGAGACTCAGTGTCTAATTAGAGAATATTACCAACACTTTAGCTAGTATAGAGACTGAGTGTCTACTTAGAAAATACTACCACCACATTAGCTAGTACAGAGACTATGAGTGTCTACTTAGAAAATACCACCAACACATTAGCTAGTATAGAGACTGAATGCTTTTCTACAAGCACAAGAGTTTATTTTAAACTTTTACATTTATTTATTATTTAGTGTGCATGTGTATGTAGTCAGAGAACAATCAGTGGGAGGAATCAGTCCTCTCTGTGGGTTCTGGGATCTAACTCAGGTCATCAAATTTGTTGGTAAGTACCTTTGCCCCCTACCCTCACCCTACTACCCCAAACTATCCAGCCCACTAGAAAAAAATTTACAGGAGTTTATATTGTATGTAAATTTTTGGAAAAAGCTTTACAAGAAGCAAACTACATTGTTTCTGTGTTTTGGAAGCTGCTGAGTCCGATTATGAAAGGAGTTTAAACTGTGACCAGGGCACAACACCTACTGTATGTAACCTTTGTGATGCTACTGATTGAGCTGTAATGATTTACTCAATAAAGTACCTCTAGAACCTGGATCCAATCGACCTGTTGCTGACTCTCAGTCTACTCAGTCAATTACAATAATGTTGCATAGTTGTGCTACTCAAACAAAGAAACAAACAACAAAAACCCCAAATGGCCAAAACTGAGACTTTAA